CTTTTGCCTTTGCTCGGTCAATGTGAAAAACAAAGGAAGACTAACACCCAATATAAACAGCAACAATGTTGCATTACAAGTGCCAAGAGTTTTGTACTGCGCATTTCTTGGGCGTAAGATTTGAGATGTTAGATTAAATTTATAAAAATAAAGTAAATATTTTGTGATGTTATGAATTCATTATTTAACAATTTATTGTGTATTATTGAATCATCAGGCTTTTCCATCATCCCAAGATTTACAAGTATATCCATAAAAAACACCATGAATGGACTGCACCTGTTGGAATCGTGTCCATTTATGCGCATCCTTTGGAGCACGTCATGTCTAACCTCACTCCTATCATGCTTGGACCATTCATCATGGGATCACACATTGCTACAGCTTGGTTGTGGTTTGTTTTGGCCATCACATCCACCAATATCTCTCACAGTGGCTACCATTTCCCCTATCTACCATCACCAGAAGCACATGACTTTCACCACCTAAAGTAAGCTTGATTTATATATTGGATGTGAGATACTTTATATTGGCTATGTGGGATTTATAGGTTTAATGAACATACATATGATAGGGGAATTATGATCTAATATATCCAGGTTTACCACTCTTTCTTTCCAAGAACGATTAGGGAGTGGAACTCCCTACCCAAAGACATCATTAACATACCGAGCATCGAAATTTTCAGGGGAACTCTTGACATTACAGCTTGACAATTCAATTCTTTTTTTATTTCATTATTGTTTTAAGACCCCATAAGGATTTTCTCGATAGAAAGAGACGGGGCACTTGGAAGAAGAAGAAGAAGGGCTGTCAACCATAGACATATCTTGAGATTAATCTGCAATTTTGTTTACTAGTATATATATTCCATTGAACAAAAAAAAGGTTGTAGACCATACTTTGGTTATTCATCACAAATCTGGCCTGCTTTTGTTCACAAGTTAGCATTTTTCTTAAAAAAAATAACAGAGATTTTACATGTAGTTAAGCATTGCTCGTTTTTATGCAACTCAATGCTGTCAGAGTCCTACTGGAAACCAGACTTTCATTCATGATATTAAGCCAAAACAAGACAAAATTATGAAAAGCTTATTCCARTGTCATTGTTGTTTAACAGGTTCAACCAGAACTATGGTGTTCTTGGGGTGTTGGATAGACTGCATGGGACAGATACTTTGTTCCGTAACTCTGTCTGCTATGATCGTCATATTCTTATGATCGGCCTGCAACCTGTGWCAGACGTTTTTCCAGATCCAAAGAAAAAGATATGTAAAAAGTCAGAATAGAGAAATGACTGTCTTTAATATAAATAATTAATAGAAATAGAATTAATTGGTTCTGTTATTTGCTACCATGGGGTTTCCATTCCATTTGGAACCACTCAGAAAAGCTGTTTTTTATAATTGATATCCTTGTCAAAATCTAATGGACAAAAGAATTACTGTACTTTCTTCTGCTGAGTGATTTGAAATTAGTGGAAATGAGATATACTGGTAATAGATCTAATCAACTGATAGATATGATAAAAATATGAGWAACATATTGTGAATTCTTAGAATATTTGTTGGTATTTATTGGTTGTATTCACTTTTTTATGTTTTAATGGAAAATACTCTTATGTTTATTAAAACTATTTATAATTTTTAATATTTCACATAATAGAAATTTGTGTTGATATGATCTTTCTGTTAATAAATAGCGTGTTTTTACTAKTATTTTAWTTATTTGTAAACACTTATATTAATTGTGTTGTGGACAATATGAATAAAGTACAATTACTTGAAATTGTTGGTTGTTCTAAGCACCGCAGCTCAATGATTTGCACAGAAATACGACAACGATATTTWCCTTTGTTAAAAAGCTCCATCACAATTTATTCAGGGCAAACTCTGATCCTCTTTAGCCCTTCAGCAATATTATAAACAATTTCCGTTCAGTAACATTTGTATTAAAATACAGTCACGTCCAGGCGTTCCTTGCAAGCGGCAGTGCATCTTGGGACTAGCGAGCAAAATATTCCGAATAAAAGAATAAATATTCAGAATAACAGTGTGAAATTTCAAATCAATTTTATTGTTTTGTTTTTTCAAATTCCATGCATGCGTTTTATCGGGCTATCAATATTAACAAAAGAATATGTTACTTGGTTTTGAGAGGCTAACACAGAGCAAACAAGAACTCGAAATTGGAGTATTGCTTACCTATATATGCTGAAGATTAGCGGTTTTCAAACTCTCTGAAATATTTTGGTGACGAATTCAATAGGCTTCAAAGAAATCACTCACGTACCKCGCCACGCCCTTTTTCGCTATAACTTATCTGTTTTTGTTTTTTTGAGATGCAGGGACGCTACCTACCGAGTTTCGGCGATCATTTTCGTCCATAAGGACTGGTGAATGTTAAGAGCGGTGGATAACATCATATCGTCTTGACGCTAATCAAGGCAACTATAGAATATTTATGGTCTTCTTTCCGATGCGAGCCAAAATAAACAATACGACTTGCATTGATTTAACTTTAATTTAATTAATTTAGTTATTTCATAGCTTTGCTAATCCATTATACAGAATTTTCAAATATTAAAATAAAAAAAAAGAATATTTCAGTGTTACTAAGAACAGATATGAGACCGTACATAAATCAACCAAAAATAAATACTCGATTGCTTTACATTTGATTTTCGTTTATTAAAAAAATAAGACTTGAATAAAAACTTATGAAAAATGTGAATCACTTGCTGTAGCTTCCCTCGCATAAAAGAACTGATCAGATCAGGGTTTCATGAAAATTTTCAGCGCATATTTTATGCAATCCACGAGTTAACTTTTATAACCGTGCGCGTAATTATCAATTGCAAAATGACACATTTCATATGTACATGTAATGTTTACAATCCACTAGTTGAATTATATMATTAAGAATTAATTAAATCATCATTTTGTATTCTATAGAGATATATGTACAATCTATAAAAAATTATTCAGTTACGACAAAATGGTTCCCAACTCCAATTCTGACTATTCCAGAACCAGTTGTCTAAAAATTTCTAACAATCTAAATACTCCAATTTCGAGTTCAGGTTTGCTCTGTGTTAGCCTCAAAACCAAGTAACATATTCTTTTGTTTCATTGATAGCTCGAAAAAACGCTTGGAATTTGTGAAGAAAGACAATAAATTTGATTTGAAATGTCACACTTAATTTACGAATATTTTGCGCACAAATGAGGCTAACACAGAGCATTGGAGAATTCGAAACTGGAGTATTTCCTCTTTATTAAGTTAAATTTACTCATAATGAGTTCTTGACTTCATTAGTTTTTAATGGGCGACTACAGTGGGGACGATGTAGTATTTGATATGATTGTTATTTTCCAATATGGAACGTCAACTCCAATGAAGGAGCACTTCAACTCTTTGCGACATAAATATTTCTATGACCTATTGCTAGTTCAGTTTTAATTCGCATACTCGCTAACTCTTCTACTCGTTAGCTCGCCTACTCTCTAACTTGTACTCTCTAACTTGTACTCTCTAACCTGTCTTCTCGCAAATTTAACTCATCTACACGCTTATGTTGTACTCATTAACTCGTCTACTCTTGTCTACGAAACTCGTTTACTCGCTAGGTGCTGTACTCATGATCTCATCTACTCGCTAGATCTTGAGCTCGCTAGCTAGTCTACTCGTCAATAGTGCCAACGTCTGACGATGCGGATAAACGAAAACTGCGCCGTTTTGGGCTGGCAGGAGATCCATTTGCAGGAAATTCAAGCGACGTTTTTTCCTCGGTTGGACTCGAGCCTTGGTAGAGTTTCCAGTGAAGCTCTTCGTTTTCTAGTGAGAGTCGTTTCAGCTTTTTGGATTCTCGATCYAGTGTGGTTTTAAGATGTTCGTGTTCTACTGATAGTTGTCTGTGGCAAAGTAAAGTAAGAAATGAAAAACCGAATACTATACAAGAAAAAGTGAAAATGAAAATTTTAATGAGATTGGAAAGAAATAAACATGATAAACAAGATCTATAATAGGAACATAATTACTATACACTACTAGGGATGTTCCCMTGTGTTTCCCATATTTCGGTAGAGTATGGAAACATAGTGTAACAATCCTTACCGCTCATATTTAGATTTGTTTTCAACAACAAARGACAGCGATTCATTCTCATGCTCAAGTTTCTTTACTCTTTCGGCAACTTTACGAAGATGATCAACCTAAGTTAAACAACAAACAAAGGATATAAATACACCAAACWGTCAACTACCCCARAYAATATTACTCCCGACACTTAATTGCAATCTCGAAAGGTGTCCGTTATAACGAATAAATTTCGCAAGAAAACACACAGGTAACCCAAACACTACGGTAGGTTTACCTCCATTCGYGCTTCCATTCTTTCTTTCTTGAGTTGTTTATTTTCCTCATTGCGCATGTCCAGTACAGCTTTCATGCTCTCAAGTTCTGCTGGGAGAGCCTTGTACTTCTCGATTKCTTCCTGTRTGTGTGAAGCAAATACAATGTGTAATCATTACTACATGTACATGTGTATAATAGCGGAAAGGACGCTACGCGACTGAGCTACACTGAGACACCACTGACCTGTATCCTCGATTGGATGTCTCTTTCAGTGTCTTCTTGTAACTGCTGGAGTTGCATGTTAAGTGAAGCACATTCTTTGGTAACCGCAAACAATTTCGACTGAAAAGAAATAAAAACCTGGCGTTAAATCAATACTTTATACTGATTAGGCGTTAGGCCTATTTCCCACTCAATCATAATCATGAGCCTAAGAAAAACAATAGATTTAGGGATTAAAAGTGATAAAGAAGACAAAAAGAAGACAAAAAGAAGACAAAAAGAAGGTGGGTGTACGTTGTTTATTATTCTGTCTTTGATAACTAAGCTTTCGCTTTTCCTTATGCTTATTGCTATGCCTGGCAATGACACTTGTTTGTTCTCTGCTTATGTTTCCGCACATGTCGAGCTATGATACGTCCCCTATATGGCCTCATGCTACTTTTAGTTACCTCTATCCCACCGTGCTGTTCTTCATAGTCAGACTTGATTGTCTCTATTTCTACTTGATGTTCTTCGAGCAGTTCTGAAATTGTATGAAAGTTTTAGAACCATAAAAGTGTATTGATATACATAGTTTTACCCAGTATATAATAAAAACTGATACTTACCATCGATATGCTGTGAATGCTTGCTTTCTAATTCAACGATTTCATCTTTATATTTCTCGCTCACATCTGCTATATCTTTCTGGTGATGTCTTTTGATTTCCATTTCCTGAAGAATCAAGATTACATCATTCTCGTTAGTATTTTGAAGTCAGTCATGGTCAATCGCTTGCCAGAAGACCCTGCATCATCAGATATGATCATCAATACTCAATTTATTGCACCGAAGCTTTGTCCGATTCCACAATTCCAATTTTGAGGGGCATGCAAACGTGTGTTTCGTTCAACCGAAGCTCATAACAAGTGCTTTAATTAAGCCCTAATTATGATTCGTGACTTCCTTTACCTTTTCGGCGTGCACTTTGTTGAGTTCAACCATTTCCTTCATATGTTCATCGTTAGCTATAATAACAATGAGTTGATTGTTAAATAAAGGTTGTCAAAGTGAAAAAAACGGAATGGGTATTAAAATGATTCCTTGACTTGATGCATTACGCGCGCGCGAGAAAGAGAGACGACTGACGATGAGCTAGTAGTTAACCTACTCTATCTAATAATCAGGAGCTGCTTAAAGAAGACTCTTATTCACATGGTTGTATTTACTGGTGTACGAAGTAACTGACAGGGAGCTTACGACTCTAACTATAAAAATAAATGCCTACTCTGAGCTAAAATGGCAGCGACGCCAGTTTGTATGACAAAGTATGATGGGATATGTGGTCCTCCTTTTTGTGCATGTTCACTAAAATCCGTTTTTGTGTTTCCTTTACGGAAGCGGCAAACTTCGTGCACCAAAGAAAACACGAAAACAGTTTTTATGGATTATTTTGTCTGATATTAGTGCGAGGATTAATGCCTTTTTGAAAAAAATGGCAACGCTGCACAGTCCAATCGATGATAATGCTGAATCGGCATAAACACACTCACCTTTAGAGATCTCCTCAGCATATTGATTACTGAGTGAATAACGTAAGGCCTCCAGAGTATTCTCGTGATCAGCTTTAAGATTTTGTATTGCAACGGTGTGCTCACTCCTGACGTACATCATTTCTTCCTGTAGTTTCACCGCGTTAGCTTCTTCCTCAGCTAAACAAAAATATATAAACCAAACCAAATTAAAAAAATAACAAATACTAAGACTACTATAACGTTTAATAACGTACCTAGTCGTTCCTGTATCTGCTTCAACTCCGATTCTGTYATTTGCAGGTCTTTTTTAAGATGTACKATCAACCGTCCATTGCCTTGAAGCTACAAATATACATAAATTACAAGAAATCGTTAAGTATGTCTATTGTTGTGCTTGAGAAAGCTATGCAAACAAAAGCTATACCTTTTTACAMAGTGCGGCGATAAGTATTGCACTGGAGAGTAAGYTGGAGTCCCTCTCACCAACAGCAAGCTCGAGATCACGACAGTCATTCTTCAATCCATGAAGTAACCGTTCCAAGGCAACATACTTGTCTTTGATGTCTTCCGCGTTTTCGTCGTCCAGTTCTACCTGAACCTCTACAGACCGGCGATGAATCTCTCTTGTACCTGAAAACAATACAGTTAGTTAGAAAACAAGCGAAAAAGGATGAATGAATAAGAGAAAGGGAGGATGGAAGAATGAGATGATCATTGTGGTGATACGTATCAATTGAAATAATGAACCTTTATAATGATAATAATATAATTAAATTAGATAATGTAGAATTAATTTAATGATTATGTGGTAACATGATGGCCATGACACACGTACCAGTGAGTATATCAGGAGCATGTGGTACATATTGCCACGACTTCGTGCTCGACTCCAAGTCTGAACGGTCAGCATCGTAATGATCGATGGAAACGCGCGACAACCGATTACCTTCGAGATAGTCCGATTCCTCGGTTCCTATCGAAGCTGTATCAATATCGCGCTCGTGAGAATGTGAACTCTCGATGCTGCCATCTCTTGAAATGATTTTTCTTGTTGGAAGGCGAGAGTGATATGGCTTGGAAGGACTACTCGCAGCTTTKCCCACTGGACTCCCTGTGGTATTTTGTGKCGTGGTTGGTTTGGGTTTATTCGCGACCGTAGTTTTCGYTGTAGTCCTYGAGACTTTCCTGTCGGTTGCTGGATAAAAAATGAAAGTAAAGGTGTTAAAAACTATTGTTATAGAAATGCGAATATCCTGTCAATAGAAGTATGAATCTCTTAAGTCAAATTATAGCAATGCACCCAAGCCGACAAAAAATATATATAATATAAAATGCTTAAGTAAAGTTTAAAGACTCATGGCAGGTATATTTAGAATATGAATGGCGCGCGTTTCCATGTAATGATTCGCTCTCGCTTGTGGGTTGAACCGCAAAATGGTATCCCGTGAAGACTGGAGACACAAATACTACTGACTTGTTTAGTACCGTACAAAGAATAATAGAAAATAGGCCATATTCCAGCTAATTACTGTGATATTATCAGCAAAATGCTTTTAAATCAATTGAGTAAAATATTTAATTATAATCTATTTTTGACTTAGTAACAATGGCGACCGCGCATCGTAAAAACAATCTTTTATCAAATRCATGTAATTGATACTCAATTTTGCATAAGCGAAAAAAAAGAAATTAAAAGATCCCTAAATCACTGAATTTTTAATAGGAAATATAATTTTTAAGCCTACCAATGTTCAACCAAATCCARCAATTAGACCACGGCATAAAACCAATAGCCTCGAGTTTTTCCTTTAGCCTTTCTATCAGACTCATAATTGACGACGATGCATTTGAACAGCATATCAGCTATTGCACACGGGAACGTTGTTTAAACGGCTTTTCAACATATATACAATTTTATCTGGTATACGAGAAAAACGATACGGGAATGGTTTCTTTCTCGCAGGGGTCCTGGCACTACTGAGCATGAACAATAAGGACATAGTCGGCAATTTATTTTGCACGTGATCGATATATATATAGAGTTCAAAACTTTGAGCTTAAATTCAGCTTTTGAGTAACTACGAGTTTTATAATCAACATTATGTTTATATATGTCKATTACAACTCGTTATATTGAGGCTCATTTTTAAGGTTTTTATCTATACCAGCTACATCCACTATATATAGATATCCCACCCCATATTTTTTATCCGCTGGGGGATAAAGGGTTTATCCGTTAGCCACAAAATTGCGCCATCTTGAAGTTGAATTTCGTACTCGGAATCAATATAATACTCTTTTTCAAAGCTCAGCTTCTGACGGCTGGTTTGCAACTGTATTTCTTGAGAATTAAAACTTCCAGACACACAAGTGCCAAAATATCGCAAAATATCTAAAAAATGACGACGCTAAGAAGGGAACTCCATTTTTTTGTAATAATCACAATACAATATAGCATATCAAATGATCGAAAGTATTCTAGAGCGAACAATCAGAGTAAACTTAGGTTATATTACCTCTCATTAAGCTCAAGAACGCCGGGTGCAAAAACAATGGCAGAAAGCCGCATATTACACAGCCTAAAACTCTTTCCTCCTCCCTGTCGCCGCTCTGACTCATCACACTGGTTCTGGATCAACGTTGACTATTTGAAATAGCCATTTTCAGCCAGTGAATACGTAGAAATGGAGAAAATATTACCATTTTAAATTGATTTTGCCTCCATTTTGTGTTTAATTAATAATTTATTTTTCCGTTATCAAGATATGTGAGGCTGGTGTTGACTTAAGTTCATGATAATTTGATTGGATAGACAATTAAGGGTCTATTGCTAAACATGATTGTTCCAAGTAGAAGTACCGAYGTAACCCACACAGCAATTTAACCTTTTGTTGCGGCCTTTCATTAGCTATGGAGCAAATATAATTCTACGTTTGTTGTGCTTGTTGCTAAGTCACTTGAGAGGAAGAACATAACAAAATTGAAATGACAAAAAAGAAAAAGAAAAAAACAGAAAAATTGTACAGTCATTTAAATGAAAATATACATTAAAAATTGCGTCTTTTGGACATAAATGTAACTTAACATTTAAATTGAAATGAAAACAAAGATTATTAATAGTTAGCATGCCAATTATTGTAATGGACGAATATTTCATTTAGATAAAAAAAACGTTATAGACCGCAAAAGCTGTAAAAAAGAAAAAGAAACTTACTGTTACATTGTCTCTAATTCTAAGGCTCGTTAAAAAGCTCAGAATTATATTTCATTTATTGGAAGTTTTCAGATGGTTTGAGAATCTAATTTCGTGAGTTTCCCTACACCTCTACCGCAYTTGTTAGCTTCGTCTCACCTTCCCCTCCCCAACAGTTTTTTACGGCTGGMTGCTTTAGCMTCGCGCGGTGGAACCGTTTAATTTACTCTTTTGTCCAAACTGAGTCAAACAGAWTTTTCTAATGGTTTACATATATCACATCTGTAATGATATGGCCAAAGGCATAAGCTTAGGGTACTTTCCATTTAAGTAGAACTGGCCGRCCAGTCATCTCTATTTAGAGGTATATYATGCTTTTTTTCAGTCATTTCGAGGTTTTCTATAGAATAATGGATAGAATTTGAAAATTTGAAWTTCCCGACTAAATAGGAATGATATATAATGACATTTTCTCTGGGTCTGKCCAGCCAGTTCTGACAAATGGAAAGTGCCCACAGTAGTTACAATGGTGGGACCAACTAAAGAATGAAATTGAGATAATAAATACCTGGCATAACTTGCTGTCCAGGTTTACTGGTAACTTGGGTTCTTTTCTTCACTGTACTATCCGTTTTTGCAGTTGTCTTCTGAGAAGGTGGCAAAGATGGTTTTCTCTGTGATGCAGTTTTGGAAACAGACCTGGCATCTTTAGCAGTTTGATTTGCAGTTGKTCCAGGCAGCTTTTTGACATCTTGTAGTGCTATACTAGCTGGCCTAATGGGTGCTTTATTTACAGGTTTGCTTGATGCAGGTTTGTTGGACGAGGATAGAGGGGGCTTTTTCATTGTTGGTAATTTTGATTTACCATAGGTTGGAGATACTGTTGCTGAGGCATCAGTAAGTGTGCTTGCTGGTCTCTTAGTCATAGATGGTCTTGCAGTACCAGATAATGTTGTTGTCTGGTACTTTTGCAAACCAGTTGTATGCCTCTTTGTCAGTTTAAAGGGAGCTGGATTTACCTCAGTGTTTCTCTTGTTCTTACTTTTATCATCTGTTCTGGCRTTAACTTTAGAGTTTCTCTGAGACTTGGCTCTAGTTTGTGACCTTGAACTTGAAGCTGAACTTGCACTGACTTTTCTTGCTTTTCTACTTGTCGTTGTCTCAACAGAGGATAACGACAACTGTGACTCTGACTGAGACAAACTTTCGGTATCACTTTGCACAAGACTTTCAACAGCAACTTGTTTCTTCAAAGGAAAAACTTTGGTCGATTCATGCTTATCTATGTTCAAATCACTTTCATCATTCTCAGATAGTTCATGGTTGATCATTTTGGCTTCTTGGCCACAATTTACACCGTCATTAGCATCAATTTTATTATCGGTTCTTAAATCCAGCCTACAAGCTGATGTTGATAGAGTAGGCCAGCTAGCTGATCTTTCTTCTTTAAACATAAGTGCAGATAATTTGTCTGTTGACCAAAACAAGGAATTTGTTTCACTTATATTTCGTACTTGAACTAACACAAGAGGCAATGATTTGGAGCGTCCATGATGAGGAAGCTTTTCACTGTTATAACCAAGTTCATTATTCTCTGCTGAACTTTCTTGTTCGCTTTCAGTAATGTCATCAAACTCCGAAGGCTGAACCTCCTCAACAGGAGTTACCTTTTCAGAATAAGTCTCCAATTCCTGTCTCCCTAAATCAATGCATGCTTCGAGTGCACTTGACAGATGCTGCGACGGAACAAGATTTGGACAACTGCAGTATTTATCTTGAACAAATGCGTCAATAGTTGTATTTCTTTCTAAAGCGGCATGAGGACCAGGGCTATTCAAATCATGTTTTGATTTTAGAGCAACACTGGTAATATAATCAGATGAATATGATCGTCTTCCTTTACYTCCAGTAATTACATTCAGCAGAGAATCATTGTTTGAGCTAGTAGTACTTGTAGTTGTCATAAGTTCACCACTTAYTGAAGGTTCAGCTTTGGTCTTTGAACATTGTTTTGATTGTTTAACCACCTCAGAACTATCATCTATACTGTTAGCAATACCATTCAAGTCTGTGTGTAGATTAAAGTTACATTTACAGTCTATTTCATTGCATTTATTACAATCTTTCCTATGGTCTAATATCTCAGTTAGTGATCTGGATCTTGACATATCTTTCCGTGTGGTATCTGTATTAGAATTACACTTAGAAGATGTTGAACCAATTGACAGGCCATTTGCTCCATCAGTCAATGAATTTGATCTCTTCTTTGATGGATATAATCCTGTACTCTCATCATTTAAAGGATCTTTTTGTGTAGTGAGAGAACCTGCTGCTTCAGAAGAATTCATTGTAATTGTATTACTGTATTTAAAACTCCTTGGAATGGTTTTATTACCTAATGCCTCTTCTGATTCTTTACACCCAAAGCCATCTGTTGTAAAGTTTGGCTTGTCAAATGTCCTTACTTTGTGGATATGTACAAATATACCATAGTTKTCTGCACAAGTAAAGTACCGTACACCCTTAACACAGCCATCATTCTTGCCACATGGTTCATCTAGMACAATRCCRCACCATTGTCCTGCACTGAAGTGAGTAGAGCCAAGATAATGAACAACCCCACTTTTTATCTGTTTGTTTAGAACACAGAGCACTCTTTGTCCTAGTTCTTTAGGTGTTTGATTATAGTCGTTGAAGCATAACTTGCTGTTGTTAGGAGAGATTTTACTCTCTGGCTCAACCTAAATAAAAAGAATTATGAAATAATTTTACTATCACGTAAACATTCCATGTATACAAAATATAGTGACCTCTAACCTCTAGATTAAGACCTAGAAAACAGTATGTACAAAATGTGTACATTTAACCTAATCTCTCGGGCTAAATTATTTGCTCGAGTAATTTCATTCGATGCAAATTAACACGACAGCAACACTTGAAATATACGTACGTGTCCCAAGTAGTTACGTTCGCTATTGGATTAACTGTTTATAATTCGAATAAAGTTACAATTATATTCAATTTATCAATTTAATCTAGAGAAGTATATGCGATCAAATCCCAAGGGAAATGRTGACTTAAAAAAATATTAACCCCGGTATCAGGCTACAGCACTCACGATACAAACATTCACATATCTTGTTTTAAATTTCCGAATATTTACGTTCTTGATTATTAGAATGTTACATCGGAAATGCTTCGCAAACTAGTAGAATTTCGCGCACAACACCCGGTGTTCAAAACTCCAGCTATGCTGTGTAAGCCGGTGTTTCTAAACGTAACAAACAGAACAAATAAAACCCTGAAGCGTACTAATAAAAGACGAAAGATTTACACGACCTGCAAGCCATTTCAGAACGCGACACATTTCTCTGCCGAAGTGAAGTTTAAATAGTTTTTACCTTYAGAATTAATATCATACAATTGAAACCTTTATAGAAGCTGTTAGATGAAATCTCTCGAGGTGATAAAAATCTGGATATAACATGAATTATAAATGGTAAAAACAAAATACAGGAACGAGAGTGCCAGCTTCGTGTGATTAATATACTCCAACCGCGCGCTGCAACAATGCAGACGTCTGAACGAATRTGTCMAAACTAACGAAAAATATTACATTTTCTGTTTAAAAYACGACCAGTTAGCTTACCATTATTAAGTAGCTAGAGCAGTATTTAGCTAGAAAACCACATAAAATTTACAGTTCATCTGAAAACATTSTGAGGTTTTGAGTCATTTGACTCGATTCGAGTTTGCAACCAAGGTGCTCGAAATTAACCAATCAGCAAGCACTTTCATAGATTTTGTCAGGGAGGAGTGGGCTGGTAGAAAATTGGTCAAAATTATCACTTTACCAAATTTTACCTTTCTATATTTCTTTTCCCTTTATTATTATTTTTTATTATTTTTTATTTTTTACTTTCCTTTTCATTCCTTTTTATTTTTTTTGACTTTCTTGAATGTTTTCGTTTTGCTTCACTTTATTCCGTTTTCTGAGTATAATTTCATCTCAAGAAAATTCAGATAAATATCTAAAATGCTCAGTCACAAAGGAATATCTACAGTCAAAAGAAAAATATTACTCTCCAAGAATRGAAACGTAATGTTAAAAAACGAACAGCATGAGACAGCCGATCCCCGTCGATACACTTTCACAACGTTAGCTACATTGGAGCCATTCATTTATTCTTTATAGTTTATTTTGACAGCCATCTTTGCCGGAAATAGTTTAATGAGAAAATCGAAAAAAAAAAATGAATATGCACCGAATTGCAAAAACACTATCATAGAGAAATATAACATTTGTATTTCCTGATTAAGTAAAAACTKGAATTCTGAGATAGCGTCCAGRCTGAGTGATYTTCCTTTGTAKTTTGTAGTTTATTCCAATGCTCTTTTTTTCTATGACAATATTATTAGYGTATTTATTATGGTTTTCGGTGCAACAAAACCACTCATGAAGACTACTTCRGCTAGTACTTCATGTAGGAAACCATAAAGAGCTCAAACCCCAAAACCCTACCCAAATACTGAGATTTTAGTAGTGCCAATACATGCTCTTTGTCATGAAGTACTGACGTCTATATTGATAATGCTTTAGTATTCAGAGCATTTTGGTCGATGTTTACGAATTTACACCTGCCTTGACATGCGCACTGCAATGTTCCCAAGATCATCAAAACAAATGCATTTCCCAGTGAGATTTAACGAAAATACGATCAATTTTTAACACAGACGAAGTTCTTAAGATTAAGATGAAATATTATTTGTGATAAGACAGTTAGTCTGACAGATATGAAAAAGTTATAATATTCTTCTACAGTGAAGGTTGTGAAATATAAGAGAAATACTTTAATATATTTCACTTTAAAAAGGCACTCTTTACATCAATATTTTTCCTGTCATCTCGACAATTATATTCATGTAATTGTCGTTGTTCGTATTCGTGTAAATTTATCTTTGAAACCGAAAGCAAATTTTCAAATCAATGCCAAAGTACCTCTAGCACGATTTTTTTAATAAAACGCTCTCAAAGGTTRAATGGGAAGTGAAATTTGCCTGTTTTTCTGGTGAAAAAATGGGATTTTATGCAGAGGGACTGAAATGAAACACATCGGACAAATGATATAAAAACTTGAAGAAAAATCGTAGTCTAGTAAGCATGATTTCAACCGTGGAATGCCGGTAAAAGTTAGCCATGAAAATGGCAATAAAMCACGCAGGTATAGTGAAATATTCGATATGATAACACCCCATAAGCGCGGGAATTTACTCTTTCGTCGACACCTGAAGGAACCTGAAGCATTTAACGATGTWTACATCCAAACCATTCCAAAAAGAGATTTTTCTCACCTGACGTTAGTCTCCAACGAAATCTATTTTCGTGTAGGAATTTCTGGATCCTTCTATGTTGTGCTTTTAGCAATCAATAAATTCATTTTAGGGCTGACAGTATATTCTACCGAAAATGGTCTGAAGTTCATTGATATTGACCAATCAGAAGTAATTCTCGTTCTAATATGCTAATATTTCACAGAAAAATGATTATCCACCGAGGAAAACGCCAGATAGTATGAGATTAGGAATTTTGCGTTGGATGTTTGTCTTTGTTTTTGCTTAAAAATGGAATCTTGCCTTCCTTTCCTGACAAAACTATTTCCGCCTGGCGGTCTCGGTAAAATAGATTTGGAGTTTGTTTTTTTTTTTTTGTCCTCTCTGACAGTCGCCAGAACTGTCTGCGATGGAGGCTTGTTTTAATTTTTCTAAGTTTTTTTTTCGTTCATTCGGTATTTGCGCAATATGCGTTTTTACGATCACCAGTAAACATGGTAAATGTAATACAAATGTTTTTTTTATGAACCTTCACTACGTTTTTGCTAATGGTTCAAAGCATATCAAATGTCCAAACACGTCAATATGACATCAAAATGAGACAAACTTCATTTACGTTCAAATATCATTATAAAGAACCGTATTTCTATTGCTGTAGTTTGGGTAATGCTTTTATWATGAGACAAATTAAAATCGCTGACTTATTGTCATTTTATTTTCAGCCGAATCAGGAAATCTTTCAAATAAGGCCAAGAAACCATTGCTCACTCTCAGAAAAACAAATGTCTTCTCGTTGATTTTGTTTCGATTACGTAGTTTGTTGTTAGTATCGCTGGACAATCGTTGAATTTATCCCGGTTGAATTATACATCATCGGCATCTATTTTGCCAAATTCGTCCTCAGTTTTGAAATTATATACATCACAAAAAAACTAACTGATTTTAAACAGCCTCTTTGAGCACTGAGCGTAGGTGTCAATTATGCGGACGACTCTAATGTCAGTTTTGCTGAAGATCACGTGACTTGCTAGTTTTGTAAGTGTCCACTCACAAAGCAACTTTACCAGACACAAGTATTTCAAGAACTCTGCCGCACTGAACACTGGAAAAAATCGCGCGCTTTTAAAGGTTGTAAATTTGATGTAAATGATTTCTATTAAATTTACAGAATTTTGGACACATCATATTTACATCAAATTTACAACCTTTAAAGCTCGCGACTTTTTTCCAGTGGAAAAGGTTGAATTATGCACGAATAGAACTTTTCTTACTTTTATCTAAATTATCATTATATCCTTGCGCTTGTTGTGCTGGAATAAATTATTTGGTTGACTGTTTAAGTGATTGATTTAATGGTTGACTGGCAAATATATAAGGAGCTGACTTTTGAGAAAGGGTATGTATTATTTTGAAAATAATATTTCATTCAAGCCAAAATCTCTACTAGAATCTCGGTAATATTGTCACAATATGTTTCGGGCGCTTGCAGAGACCAAACCATGTCAAAATCATCTTTTCAAACCCCTCCCCCCTCTTTTCTAGGCCTTCAAATGTCAAATGGTCAGCCCCTTGGCACTTTTTGCTTTCAAAAAACTCTTGAGAAGTTGGAAAYTTACCTCTTAAATCGTAATATTGCTTATTTTTTTCCTCATCTAGTAATGCTGGATTGACGAGCAGTCCAAAGTCCTACTTTAATTCATTGACTTTAATACAATTATTAAAAAGAGCTTTTATGAAACACAGCAAGACAACTGAAGCTATTTTGGACGTCTCGATAATATACCARTGCACCAGTGCCCACGAAGTAAAAATGAACAGTGTTATGCCTTGGTGGCTTTCTCACGGCCACACAATTGCGTTGAAATTTCATCAAATTTTCACAATTTGGTCGGCACCTGTTTCCGGGCAAAATCTGTGAATCTATTCAAATAGTTTATCATCAAAGAAATTTCAAGTGCGCTGAGCTTATCGATTGATTTCAACTTGATAGTATGAAACACAAACATTACTGAAAATTATCAGCCGTTTATGGACSAAATAGTTGTACAACCACACTTTAAAACTCAAAATACTAGATATTATAAGCGTGTTGATGAAATAATGCTATTTAAAGCACTTAAGCTGAGATTGCACTCTATTATAAAGTTGATACACAAAAMGAACTGCCATTGCGTAAAGCCACTTCTCTGTCTAACAATAGAAAAATGATCAACCTTCCATTGTAAACAAACAATGCACCTGAAGACCAACTTATAAACCTATTATTATTTCATCTAGTTTTCGAGAAAAAAGAATCTAAGTTATCATCAACAAATTACATKAAATCACAAACATATTTTGATATTTTAGGTTATGAAATTAAAAAGAGCCTCTTAATTTACACTTTGAGGTGAAATGTTACCTTTTTATGGTGCGTCGTCGCTGACTTTTCGCCAGATCGCTTACATTTGTACGTTTGACTYGAGTTTTCCCTTCTAAATTTTCGTTTCATTCCTAATTCACATGGTTTTAGCAGTGAATCACTATTAGAGCGTTCGAGYTTCGGSACAGGAGCGAAGGAAAGCTCAGAAAATACTGGCAAAGTCTCGCGTCTTTTTAGAGTTCTCCTTGACAGCCTTGAAGGAGATCCTTTTATTRGTAAAGTCCTTAAACACTGTCCCTCGTTTGTCTTAGACAAAGAAAAACTACCAGTCACCCAAGCAGGTCTAGTTTGAGGTTGCTTAGAGAATTTAGTGCTATTCGACCTGTTTGTTGCTGAAGAAAGAGGTCTTATGCTTTGACAATCATTCTTGGTGCAAGATGGTGGCAGCGAAGATGATTGTCTTCTTGACTTGGTTGTATTCCATGGTTGATTAGAACCTTCCGTTTGTCGGTATGTTGAAGATATTGGCATCTTAAATCATGAATGTGTCTCGTACAAGCTAACACTATAATTTGGTCATCAAAATTCTCCTTTTTGCAAAGTGTGTACTTGAAGTTACTTCATGGAGCTGACAAAAGTACATCAAATGTTATAGTACCTCACATCCACGGAACGGTGAAAGACAATCCTCCAAATGCTGTACAAATTAAATAATTACAATGGTACAATAACAATGAAATCGACTTTAAAATATTAAAAGCACCAAAACAAATTTCATCTATTRGTTAGGTCTGCAGGCCAAATATTAATTTTACTATCATAAGTTTGCCTCTGCGATATAACYTGCATAACATCGGTCGATCAGCYCATCTGTGTATCGTCTGCGAAATTCCAAAAGGGTTAACGTTGACTATTGCTATTCAATAATTGGTGTTTCTTCGTAAAGCAAGTACTTACTACCCTTGACTACCCTTACTTCTGTAAGAACACTTTGCGAATTCGACGTTCTGTGTTGCGGTAATTATATCAAATTCCTTAAGAACTTTTTTTACTCTTTTTCGCGTCGTTTGGCGGTCCTTAATTTTAATCAACTACGATKTGTTTGTCGTCCACTTTAGAACCAAACACTRAACTGTTAGTAAATTATCTTGAGAAAGGTCTTTCTTTTAAATCGATATCTTTCTAACCCATCTATTTTTCCATCCTTGAGTCAATCGATCCAAAATGACGGATACATAGTCCAATTAAAGTTGTTGCAGTTGTCAAGCTCTGAAGTCAAGTTTGATGACAGCGCCGCGTTTCGTGCTTCGAAAAATATTTACATATTCACGATTGAATAAATTATAAGCGTCTCAGCAGGCAGCACCAGAAAGGGACGGTCAATAACTGTTTCTTTTACCTTAATAGTGACATCAGTGTAATAATTACGTGTAATAATTTTTGAATAATTGTTCGTGGACTTCCTGTGTAATTTTGATAGGCACCAAGCAGTGTAGTGAAAATTGAACGGCCTGGGATCTAAATACTATTAAATTTACTTTTATATATGAGCAAAAAAGACTTGCATTGTAAAATTCCCTGAAACTGTGACATTTGACGTCTTTCTCTTAGCTATCTATCTAATCTGACACTGAGACCGAATGTCGGACGGTGAGCTTTGTCGAAACGCTTCACCAAGAATTGATATGAAAATATTAAATTTTATGATTTCGCGCGCAGTGGAAATCCTAAACAATGCAATATGTCATTAAGCAATCACAATACTAGCTAGAACAGAAGACCTAAACAGGGAAAGCAAGCTAARAGTTACACATCAAGGTCGGTGCGACCTGAACGTACGGGGCCCGTCCGTACGTTGTGCTTTGAAGAGACACGTACCTAAACTATAACGCGGTAATATAAATGTAGCTTAAGTTCTGGATATTTAAAGATGTCTTCGTTTGTTGTTTACTAACCTCTCTTTGAAGAGACCTTGCAAACGCTCGTATCCTCAGATAGTCATCCATCATGTGTTGTGTGATTATCAGCCTCTTGAAAACTCCAGAAGACGTTGTCCCGCGCAACCTTTTATACAGATTCTAGACCTCAAGTTACCGCGAAAGAAAAATAATCTTAGTAGCTGTGTAGAACTATGTTTCCAAAGGATGAAATCATCTGTTGATATTTTGGGGCGGCCACCAGTTTGATGGGTACATCCACCTGTTGACAGATCAAACAGTCAATTAACTTTTTAGTGACTTCAGAGGAATTTACCAAAAATAAAAACAATAACAGTACGATAAAGACGTGTTAGACTTGTCAGTAGGACATATTYAAAACTGTTTAGCGTCGCCATTTTGTACAATGAGGCATTATGGGTAGTTTTAGTCCTTTAACTTTCATAGGATTAAAAATAACTCCCTAAGAGGCGCGTTTGTATTTTCTTTTTCGAGACAGCACACAACTACTTCTATTACTGTAGAGAAAAAGRAAACACGGGGAATGAGGACTGTTTTTCGGGCATGAAAAAGTTCGAAGACTACAACTCCCATCATGCTTTGTAGCAGCAGTCTGTCCGAGGTCGTTACACTGAGCCAAGCTTCGAATTTCGCTGCTGCTTTCTTAGRTGTCAAATATCATCCCTACCTTAAGATATATGAATCGTGTTACAWCGTCGTACAAGTAACCAAGTGACAAAACTAGGCACCATTGTCCYTCCTCCAAATAAATTGTGCCGGCGCACATGCGCACCATGCTTCCGACGCATTGGCTAAAGTGAAATATTGAGGATACAATGATTCATCACTTCATACTAGGACTAATACCAGGATTAATATCAGGCTTTAGATTTGACTAGAACTAGTATGGAGTTGAGAACGAGTACGAATGGATCTGACGATATTGGTTTTGATATAAATGCAATAAACGTTGATTTGGCATCAATAGGACCGAGACATACAACACACGATACTAAGGGCAATGCAGAGATGTTACTCGTCGTACTCACACCCTATATCTCAGGGGCGGATCCAGGATTTTTCTAGATCAGGGAGGGGTGCAGGGCTCTCAGGAGGGGGTGCACCCCATAAAAATCACTACCATGAAGATACAAAATAAGGAAAGTATCGAAGAGTAGACAGATCTCAGGAAGGGGTGCGCACCCCCCCTGAACCCACCAGCTGGATTTGTGGATTCGCCCCTGTATCTTACTCGTAATCTATAGTCAAATCCAACATCGGAAATTTTTGAATCCACAAACTTTATATCGAATAAGCTACAGAAATTTGCAACCAATGATTAGGAAAAGTCAGAAGTACATAACCAGAAGTTGGTTATGTACTTCTGGAAAAGTTTGATACCTCTTTTAAAGTCCGTTCGTATTATCAGTTTGTACGTACACGTAAAATCAWATTGATTTACTTATTTGATAGAATAAATGTGAGATAAATGTGTTTTTTTTAACAAAGTGAATGCTATCCTCTTGCTTCGTTTTAGACGATAAAGCTTCAACAAAACATGCGCACATTTGAAGCTTAACGCACCGTAGTATCTCAACAAACCTGAATGCATTGATAGTTTAAGTCGCCCTTAATGTTTTCCATTGCTTGGGATTCCTGTGTTGTTATTCCCAATGTGGCTACACGAGTAGGTAAGAAAACGTTTTGTTCTTAGGCAAGACAAGTTACTCTCTAATTGCAAATTCCGGACAGGACGTAAACAGGAGGTCTCTCTTCGCATTATCTGTATGATAGAGTAGGCCACAGGGTTCCCGGGTCAATGAGTCCTCGTACAAMCACGGTGTCCMSCCGTCGATGGACTTCCGAGTGATAAAACTATGCAGATTAATAAAATTAAAATGTTGATAGTGCCTCATCAGCCACATTCCCTGAGAAATG